AAAATGTTAATGAATCCTATCGGCACTTTAGAAAAGCATCACAAACATGGGACAAAATAGCTGGTACAGACTAAATAAACACATAATACAATCACACAATAAAATGCACATTCAGAAAAACCTTGCAATGACAACAGTTAAATTAAGAACCAAAAGCCTCTATTGAAAATTGTGAGAATGAAGCTTAAGTAAGAAAGACTTAAGCAAGACAGTGACGCTCAGACACTTAGCATCATCTTACCATTAGCCGGAAGGGACAACAACAGCAGTAAACTCACCTAGGCAATAGTCCTTCTAACAAGCAATAATAGCCTTCTGACTTCCCAATTGATCAGACAAATTACCACAGCTTCACATCAAGGCAATGACACTGGCAATGGAAAATAAATTGAAGCTGGAACGAGATAAGAGAAAACATGGCAATGTTAATAATGATTACATCAGATATAGGTTAAAATCAGCTAGCCTAAATGGGAGAAGGCAGTAAGGGATGTGCTAAAACGGTAAAACCTAGCTTAATTATGCTCCCTGCAACAACGCCTTCAAGAACAGACTAGCCTAGATGAAGCTATGAACTAGAACGTCTAGAAGAGCAGGAGCATATGTTCAGTCTTAAAATACCTAGCAAATTACGGACCAGACCAGTCAATGCAGTCATCAGTCAATACTAAGTCCAGCAGCTATCTCAATCAATCGTCAGTTATGTTAAGATCGGGTTCCAAAGGCCGGATCCCTCGACCCTTGTGAATCAAGTCACGAAAAATTCAAGAATTGGCATTCGGCAACAGGTCATGGGCCTATTTATTTCTTCAGTGCCAACACTTCCATTCTAGTCTAGAGTGACGCGAGACTCTAGCAGAGCTCAGAGTATGCTGCTTTGCATTCTTTTTCTGACAGAGATCAGATGAATGATGATGATGTCTTTTTTCAGGCGTCATATGATAAAGGACCCCAAACAGGTCAGTTGTCACACCTGGACACGGCAATTTGAACACTTCTTTTCAAGTTTGCTTAGTCGTCACCGGTTTCTATGATTTCAAGAGCAGTTAACTTGGCAGGGCTTTAGCTTCACAATGTCCCCATATGGCCGGTACTTGTGAGAAAGGTGATTACGGCCTTGATCACAAGGTGTTGCTCCTGTAATCCTGTTTTGTGAGGTCATTCCCTCCCAGCAAGATTTGCACCGTCATGGTCTGTATGCCAACTTGCCAAGACAGAGATCAGGCTGGTGGGTGCATTTGTTGCCACAAGCCATAATCCCTAGCAGAGCTCAGAGTCTGCTGCTTAACCTGCTTTGCATTCTTTTTCTGACAGAAATCAGGCTGGTAGGTGCATTTGTTGCCACAAGCCATAATCCCAACTATAATCCGAAATATAGATTTGATATTTCAAGGGGAATTGCCGAAGGCGAAGTGCAGCATCTTCGCGCAGAAGAAGAAGCAGACAATCTTCCCCACTGCTATCCGTCTTGAATATAAGGTTCGCGCCAAACTTGACCGTGTTAGCCTTCCAAGATTTCTCAAAATTCAAAATTTTCCGCGCTTTAATAATGCTATATTTAAAGTTTTATACATGACTACGAGTTATGATAAATTGCCTCATTTCCGTACTAATAACAAGATCTTCAAGGGAATTACGAATAATCTGAGAAAACCCTATTTAAACGGATGGCGTGCGATGTAAATATGTATGCCAAAACTTGCAGGGGACCAAAGTCTCTCATGTAGTCATCCTAATTTCTGATAATAGTACTTCATAAAGAAACGGTAGGCATATCCTGGGATATTCATTTCTCCCACAAGCTCACGCACTGATCTTACAAGAATTTTCAACGGTCGCACACAACATGTGATCGACCGGATTGACAGTTTAGGTGACCATGCTGCTGTAATAAAGTAAAGGAGGAAGAACAAACCCGTTTAGAAGTAGTTCGGATGGGTTAAAACTAATTTATTATTTTACAAAATATAAATACAACGGAAATCCTCGTGCTAATAATAAAGTTGGCACAGTGGTTAAAGTTCAGAGTACCAAGATTGACGCACTAGAGAGGCGCGGGTTCGATCCCAGCTCTGTGCGCCAGTTTCCTGTCAGAATCGGCAAGGAGGCCGGGCGGTTAAGCACAGCAGAATTGTAGCAGTGAGTTGCGAGTTCGAGACCTCAAAATGCCGTGAATGTTCTGCGATGTTAAGAATCGGCGACAGGCCTACGGCCTACTAAACGCTGAAACCGCTATTATTATTATTATTAGAGTGCTTTTCCTTGTCTTTCATATCAGCTGACGCCAAAAGTGTCAGCGACTTCAAGGCAATAAAAATTTACTATAAACACCTGAAAGAAGCAGACAAAGCAGGGCTGAATGGAAAATGAGATTACTTGAACAAGAAACTTTGCAACATTGCTTCTAACATGCAATTCCAATTGCGAGGTTTGACTTGAAAACGGCACCTTGCAGTGCTCAATACTTTCGCGTCACTCAAATAGTCAAATTATACTAAGATTATCATACTAATAGAAGATACACAACCTATTGATATCGGAGCCTAAACTGTCGTTAATATTACAAAATATTTTGTGCGAACAAATATTCTAGATCTGAAGGCAATATTGATGTTTCTGAAATGTGCTGCGCATCGAGGCCACATACTTACGTAACGCATTGTGCACACATTAACTGCAGGTAATGGAGTTTCATAATAATTACTGTTTGTTTGTTTAGTGGCCAAATGTTTACTAGCGCTTCAGCTATTTAGCTATCTCGCACCGAAAGTCAAGATGAACATCACCATAGAGGTGGACTGTACTTATATTACTGTTGCCGCATTATATTTTTTTGAATGTACATCAAATTTTTAATACCATCTGTTTCCTCGACCCGTGATATTTTTTGGAAAAGTGTTCTATAAGTGCATCTGTTACCATCTCCCAGTCCGCAAGAGCACTATAACCTTTGTTTGTCACCTAACACAGTAAAAAAAAATTAGATCAGTACCCACTTCAGTGAGTGACAGAGGGCGCATTTTCTCGTGCTCTCTCACCCCGAAGTCAAGGACGGACATAATAATAATAATAATAGCAGTTTCAGCGTAAATTAGGCCGTAGGCCTGTCGCCGATTCTTAACATTGCAGAACAGTCACAGCATTTTGCGGTCTCGAACTCACAACTCACTGCTTCAATTTTGCAATGCTTAACCGCCCGGCCTCCTCGCCGATTCTGACCAGAAACTGGCGCACAGAGCTGGGATCGAACGCGCGCCGCTCTGCTCCAACCCTGGTACTCTGAACTTTAACCACTGGGTCACCCTGCCCAGACGAGCACAATAGTGCCTTTTCTTCCATAAATGAGGAAATGCGCTAAAACCCACGATATGCCTTAGTAAATTGAATTTTATTTCATTCAGTTTTTGTCACAACAAATAGTAACGCGTATAGTGAAGATATATATATACAGTGGGGGGAAATAAATATTCGTACACTTGAAAAATCGTATTTTAATGTATGTACATCCAGTCAATAGTACACTTTGATGGAAATCTATCTCCATTATACAGCTAGTGGATAATCGCCGATCAATCGTGAACCATGAAAATAAATTACGCTAAAGTAATCCAAAGTAAAGAAAGTAAGTACTCGGGCGCACAGAGCTGGGATCGAACGCGCGCCGCTCTGCTCCAACCCTGGTACTCTGAACTTTAAACACTGGGTCACCCTGCATTATTCGAAGAACCTGTAGAGACCAAGGGAAAAAATTATGCGTTTTGATACCCATAGAAAAAGCAATTCCATCTCGTCCGTGAAATATGTTTACAACATTTTAACAATCACACAATATCTGGTGAATCAGCTAGCCCAAGTGGCCTGGGACGGCTACGTCCGAAACACATACTAAAGATACTGTGGATCATCAATGTCATGATTGAATTAATATTATTAATTGAACCATGGGAATATCAACCTTACAGATAACTGATTCAATCATAACCAAGATGCCAGCAAGCGCCGGTTTGAAATTTTAATGACGTTGCTGCAAGGCTAATTTGAGATTCAGAGCCGACGACTCATCGAGGAAACAAATAAAATTCAAAAGAATTGAGGAGCACAAAAAAAAGTATTATACATCCAGTCAATAGTACACTTTGATGGAAATCTATCTCCATTATACAGCTAGTGGATAATCGCCGATCAATCGTGAACCATGAAAATAAATTACTCTAAAGTAATCCAAAGTAAAGAAAGTAAGTACTCGGGCGCACTGAGCTGGGATCGAACGCGCGCTAAACGTTGCCCTGGAAATAACTGTTAGAAATAAGGTTCCCAGTGAAAATATTCTAAGGGGAACCTTATCTCTAACAGTTATTTCCAGGTGAACAATATTTTATTGAATTATCCCTGAATTGAAATTATCACACCGATTACTAAAGACAAATAATAATAACCATACCATAATAATATTGAAGGACTAGCCAAGAAAATATACAACGAATCATGCAATAGTCGCTACATTAATATGATCAACAGAACCACTCACGCAGAAGAACGCTCCGAGAATTTTACGGTGCTGGGTTTGAGTGCCAAGTTCTGGACTTCAAGGGCATCGTAGGATCTCAACGCACAAATTGACTAATAAGAACGCAGCTTAAACTAAGAAGAAAATTCACACAACGGTAGTCTGAAAATAATTTATTATCACACCGATTACTAAAGACAAATAATAATAACCATACCATAATAATATTGAAGGACTAGCGAAGAAAATATACAACGTATCATGTAATAATCGCTACATTGATATGATCAACAGAACCAATCACGCAAAAGATGGAATCAATCAAGTCCAGCGTGAACCTTCAAATTATGAATATGACTGGCAAGGAGAAAAGACGAAATAAAGGGAACTTGTGTGCACAGCAGCTTCTCTATTTCCAAGTAAAAGATGAAGAGCAAACCGAAACTTAACATCAAACTAAAACGGGTCGGATATCACAACACACGAATTATTAAACATTACAAATAAATCGAGCGGTGATGAATAATTGAGATATACTTCAACATTTAGCAATAGCGCGAGGTTTATTTATGCGCAGATTCAGGCCACGAGAATTTCTTTAGTTCAGCTAATGATATAAATCTCATCCAGTACGGATGGAAGTTAAGGATTGCCACAGTAGCGATGTTACTTGTTGCTTTGCATGCTAAAATTTACTGACACTACTGACACACCAGCTAAAGATAAGCAGCATAACTTGTTATAGGAGTTCATAGGGTATTACCATTCGCCAATATGCAAGATTACTTCATCATCATAGCCACATTTCCATTCCTGAATAAAAACACAAAACCAAGACGTTCGAACTGACAGCAAGTTTGGACGCTAATAGCATCGGTAAAGTGTAAGATTCTCCGCACAGACGCTCAAAGATATATGTAACTTCAGAAAAAGTATGAAAAGAAGACGCCAGATCAACGCTAGATATGTTTAAAGGCATAGGGAGATATGCAAGAAAAAAAAATGTCAGTACAAGAAGTGATTCGTCACGGAAATTTATGTCCATACAAACATTTTCACAACTCGCTCTCCAAGATAGAGCTCTACTGAATAGAATTGTGTGCAATATTGGCATTCACAATTCAAAAAATTGCCTAGGTAAACATGACTTGAATAAAATATGAGAGCTCTAATCGACCACACGATTTGAAACCCAAACAAAAGAAAGAAACGATGTGATTGATATTCCAGGTAGTATGAAAAATGCGACGAGAAGGGAATACTTGGATTTGTCTCAAAAGCCAAAGTGCAGCAAAACAACAAATTCAAAATCAGCTTAAACAAACTGCTTTGTTATCATTAAGATCATCTCTCGCAGTTGCGCAGATGATATGAGAAGGGACCAACCCATAGATGAACGAACAACACAATCGCAATTATTTTACTAACATGTCAAAGCAATTGCTTGCACATTCGGTTCCATCCTACGGTTGGAGGTGTCTAATGACTCGATCTTGCCAAGGGTTTCAGTTATCTTGATACTTCCCTTCGATTCAATAGCATCTATCACAGGTCTCGAATCTAACAGCGTGTGCCACCATACCAAATTAGATCTATCATGAATAAACCTAGAAACAAATAGCTGTTGCTAAAATTTGGAGTTTCTTGTGAAACAGCAAAATAAAACGTCCAACTGAGGTCGATATTCAGTCTGGTTCAAATCCAACACGGTAGCTCTGAAAACACAAAACAATCGAGAAAAAGTCGGATTACTAATGAAGAATTAAATTTAAACGTAATTAAGATGGAATAAACGAGACAACGAGTTTAACAGTTTCTTTCATCTACAACTTGAAACACTAACAAGAAAAAACATTCCTAACAACATTGTAATTATTTCAAACCTTCTTCATTTCAACAGACAACATCGGAAGAACGTTTAAGTGAATTAGTGTCGATACAGCAGTTCTCATCAGTTTCCTTAATCAGAACGTTGACTTGGCCCGAATTCTTTAAAAAAGGAAAAAAAGCATGACTCTTGGTACTGAGTGAAGCAATATCCTCAAGTATCAGAAGAAGTATGAGACGTTCTTCTGAACAAACCTAGAAAATCCTCCCAACACAAGACATCGCTCCGGGAAAATAGGGAGCAACCAACGGGAACCGATTTGAAGGCACCCACTATCAACTAAGACTGTTTCAACCTCTTGCACGTCTACACAAGTAATTCCACGCAAAAGCGTATTAAGAAATCAAATTTTGCGAAGCATCTTCGCGATCCCCAATCTGTACAAAAAGTATTCGAAGTTGTACTGGAGCATTTCTAATACAACTTCGTTCAACCTGCACACCGGGAGATGAAAACAATAAAAAAATACTTAGTCTAAGTGTTATTTAACGGACAACTTCATTCCCAGTTTCCGACCTCCGACCCTGATAAAAAGATATCCACAGATCATCTGAGCGATTTGAAATAGTTAACAACATGCAGATCGTCCCAGAAGCGTTTCACGACAACAGTAGCCAGAAATATTCAATATGAGTAAACTGAACTACAGCGAAGCTCTAATTGGCTTGTGCCTCTTGCCATCAAAAAATGTATTCGGCTCGTGCTTTGGACAAGCAGAAATAATCGTCATAAGTGGAGCAGAAGCTCACCAGGAAGCATCTTACGTCATTTATGTATCAAATAGCAGGGTATCAACGGAGAAAAATTGCCCAGTGAGCGCATAAGTACGGTCAGAAGTCCAAGAGAACATAAGGCAGCATGTGCAAAGGCTGGCCGAGGTATGACTGTTGCTCGACGACCTCGTGCCACTGACGGAAACTCGACTCGCTGTCTAAGGTGCCATTGACGCCAGGCACTTCATTGCAGTGTAAGCGCTCCAGAGCCGCGCACGTCGTCGAATTCAAAGAAGAAGAGGGCTGATGATCAATTTCTTCATCCTCATCAACCATATGCAAATCCTTTAGAGTCTTCGCTCCATATTCTGGAATTTGAAAACTGATATTAATTGGATAGCAAAACATTTTCAACAAATTAGAATGAAGGCGAAATTTGTCCAGGAACGTGCATTCCTTCTTTACAAGTAATTAATATCATCTAGAAATCGGCGCACTAAAAAAAATTCTATTTACGTTACCTGATTCCAATATATGTAGAAAGTATTTAATTCAATACACGTTAAACATGAATGTATCGAGTATGCATTAAGACCAACTTAGAAAAAGGTTATATTCGGACTAAATCGTTCAACTTTAACTATAGTATCAATAAGATAAATAATTCAAATATTCTTATCACGATTGCTTGAGCATTTGATAACAGTAAGGAGATTGCTAAAATAATACAGAATTCATTCAATGCAGTATATGTGCATCATCAAGACCCACCTGTGTGTCTATATTCGAGATTGTCGAGCTGATCTTCATATTTCTGTACTTCTAAGGCTTCTTCGAAGTCGATCGGCGGTAACTTAGCAAGCAGTTCTATATCATCCTCGGCACCAGTGACGCCCAAAGAGTCAAGCACAGAAAGCGGGACTTCGGTTTCATCAGCTGGCTGTCTCGGAGCTCCAAGCAGTTCAGGCTCAGGAGAAATTATGATGGGTTGATCACTAGGATGAGGTGAGGCAGGTAGCCGTTCTGCAGGCGGGGAAGGAGTGGGTACCAGCACGATCGGCGCTGAGGAATTGTTGGGATCGGGGGGACTTGGAAGTGATTGGACATAGCGGTAAACGTGATTCATTTTATTTCGAGTCATTTCGTCATTTGATTTTAGTTGTTCTTCTAATTTAGAAGCTCTCTCTGCTAACAATGAATCACCTTTCCTTTGGGCCAATTCAGCAACAAGCTGGGAAGTTGTTTTGACTTTACTCGAAGATGTAGGTAACTTGATATCGGGCAGAGACGGTCTAGAATTGATAGATTTTCGTCTGCCTCTTCCTCTAACAGTTCTACCAGAGGTCTTATTAAGGGTTGTTACATCTCCGACACAGTTAGGTAGGAGTGCCGTGTCAGCACTACTGCCGTCCTCGGTACCGACAGGAGATTTGGAGGCACTGTTACGGGAAGAAGAGCCCCGAGGTGCTCCCGGAAGCAAAGAAGCATCGGAAGCAGCAGGAAGCTTGGTGACCAAACCAGGAGTACCTTTTCTACTGCTGCTATTTGAGCGGCCTCTTCTTGAAGGCGACTTAACGTCTTTAGTATTTGGACTAAGACTAAATCTTAAATTATTAGATGAAGATGCCCCACTTTGGCGATTTTTTAGCTCTAAATTAGACCATCTAGGAGTACTAATAGGAGTTATAGTTTCAACAACGATATCATCCTCTATGACCTCACAATAGCTGCTGGCGCTGCTCCCAACACTGTTGACATCTTCAACGTCAACAATATTGCCATTAGTCATGGGAGTAACTCGCTGGCGTTTGATGGGAGGCCCCTCCTCGTCCAACTCCAAAACTTCAGTTACCTCATCATCATCTTCACTGCATTTTCTAAGGCGCTTATTTGCTACATGTCTGTGTGACGATGCATTACCCGACCGCGACACAGCTCTATGAGGATCCACTGGTCTAGAGGACAGGGGCATAGACATAGCACTGTCCATTGCTCTTGATGAAGCCGGAGATACTGGAGATGGAGCCCCCAAGTGTACATGGGTGTCACTAGGTGAAGAGGGGAAAGACGTACCATTCTGGGAATTACAAACAGGAGATGTAGGTGCAGAGTGGCGAGATGGACCTCTTGAAGGCCTAGGAAGAGCAGGTGATGCCGGGGCGGTGCGAGAGGTAACGGGAGAGAGAGGGGGGTACACAGGTTTTGTGTGGTTCCGCTGATGGTGATGCGTACTGACCGCAGGTGTTGCACTTGCACGGCCTTTGCTACCACTAGCAAGCAAACGTGACGATGGCGCGGTGACTGCTGTGTTGTTATGTAGTACTTCTATCTCAGGGGAGTTACGACCACTACTTGACACGGCTGGAGGACAACCGGACAATGCAACAGGCGTGTTCGTGGGAGCCGGCAGAATGTGACCGTTACTCCCATTGCTTGGGTGACCTACTGCAGAGGGCTGAGACAATGGGCGTTCTTCAGCCTCAACAATACGCCGCCACTCACGCACCAAATTCTGCAAATACACACAAATAATGATTCTTCACATAATAAATGGCATATTGTTTGAAGTAGAAAAAAGTGGTGCAAATGTAATTTAGTTTTTAGACTCAAAAAATAACCATAAAGAATCACAACCTTTCAAGTAAAGCCCTAAAATGATTAACATTTTTGAGCTCTAAGTAAATAACTAACTTTGTGCATGAAGAATAAATATGAACTTCAACATGGAAAAGGTCACAGAACAATTTTATTATTCTCACAATAAAGCATTTTTTTTCAAGAAGCATGACAAGCATGACAGCATATCAAGAAGCATGACTGACAAACAGCATTTCAGCATCAACATGAACTTCTGTGCCCAGCACAACGGGAAGAGGTTGTTGCAATCATTCACTGTGTGAGCCTGTGAGGTGACTCCACGCTAATTATTAAATAGGCATAATTGCTTAGAACATACCACCTTATAATTGAGAGCAATACTAAAAAAAAAAAATAAAAAGATTACCTTTGCTCTTTTGTTGAGTTCTGGATCCTCATTTTGTCTCCTGATGCACTTGATCTCTCGGCCTATTCGGGTTCGCTGAAAAATAATAGTAATCGAGTAAAGCAAATGAATCATTGCTATCATGAAACCTATCTTTATTATGAAATATATGATGCATGATGCGATCAATCATAAAACTTCAGTGAATGAGTGGAGACATGGTGCTTTAGTGTGGTCCAAACCAGGTGTCAGTTGTTAAAATGTTGGCTGAAACTGAAGAGATTTTAACTGCACAAGATTTTACACCTCAACTCCCAGTCCAGTGGTTAAATTGACTGAGCTTCATCGACAACTAACAATAACTCTTATTCACGAGACTTGTATAAGGAGCATGAGGAAAGCATTATGGAGGGTGAGTAGTGACACGACAATGGCGGAGAATTGGATATCTCCAAATCTAACTCATCTGCTGCTCCTGATATCCTTTAGGCAAGATAATCATTTTATGCTTGCATATTACCACTCCTTGATTCACGTTTGCAAGAAGTTATTTTTTTACACTAGAAAAATTACAATTCCTAGATCTACTCATGTAAAAAGTTTCCTTTACACTCAAGTTTACAATTCATGGATCACAGCTGCAAGATATTCAGTTCACAATTGCCAATCTGCACACCTTTTCACTAACTTAAGAAAGAAGTATTTCCTTATTACTAATGGGCTTTCAGCATATATGATCTGTGTGACATAGTGCTGATGCTTGCATTTCAATCCTGTTGCACCTTTGTAGCTGTTACTCATCAAATTGCACGCCAAATAGTATATTTGCCACGTTATTTGTTCATAGTTTTCTGATGGTTACTTGTGTGCTAGGTCATCTTATCACATTTCAATAGAAGATATGCTCATACTAGTTATTTCACTAGACTACCATTATACATGAAAGTTTGATCAGTTTAGTAAATATAAATTCCTAATCAAAAGAAATGCGTCTGCATATCATTAAAGACCCCAGATATGTTAGCCATTGTTACAATAAATTAAAAAAAATCTCACCTGTATTTCAACCATTCCCTTACTAGTTGTTACCTCGTTACTAAATGAGGACCTTGATAGAACATACCTACAAGGTGCCTTGAATGTTACTTAAAAGCATTTGGGATTTTAGGTTTTTGCAACCACTTATGTTCTGTAATTTACCATTTGTCAGAGACTGAAGATATATTAATTTAAATGCAAAAAAAAAGGAAAAAATACCCAAAAATAGCCAATATACACCCAACCAATGATAAAATGGCAGACACTAATAGAAGATACTTATGCTACTAAAATAGACTTATTACTGCTGGAGACTGAGACAAGAAAATATTCAAGCATGCATCTTTCAAGCACCATTGTTGCTGTTGGCAATTGAGACTTTTGACTCAAAGCAATTGCTCACCTCAAGAATGTCTCGTGTGATAGGAGTCTTCGCCAACTCAGCAATGATGGCCAACAGAGTGCCCATGTCGATAACCTGGGAACAGAGGCACAATGAGCATTCCATCATGATTTAGGTCTTTAGTTCCTCCAAGTCTCAAATAAATTTCTGCATACTTCCATGTATATGGCATTTCAACTTTCTAAAATGATGAAATGCTGATCAAAACATAGCATTTCAAACAACTGCCAAATTGTCTTTAATGCCATAAAATAAATATATATGAACATTTGTCACAAAATGTTTACAGGTAAAGGAATGCTAAGGCAGACCAACACACAGTGGAATTGACAAGAAAATCTGTACACAACTTGTACAATTGTACAAGCCATAATAGTTTCCGATCGTTAAAGCTAGTGTATTGAACAGAAATTCCCCCAAAGAAGACCGTTTTGAACATCTTTCTACTTTATCCAGATCATGCTTTCATTTGGCAATGTCAAGTTTCAAAATTTCTGTTAAATATTTGGCCTGATAATTTTTGTAATTGTCTCTAGCATACTCCTGATTAATCAGTATGATATGAAGGTTACCCATATAGCAAATATTTCACTAAGACTTCCAATTTACCCGAAGTTATTGCGCAAATGTTATTATTGGTTATTTGAAGTCATTGATGCTTGGGGATCAACTTCACAACAGGCAAGAACTGTTAGGAGCTCTATTAAGACTTGCCATCACAGAAGTTTTAGATCTCTGTCACAAGCAGATCAGTATAAAATAGGAGCTTCCGTGTTAGGATGGCCATGACCAGCCCTTGGTCCTAACATCACTTCAACTGCATATTTTTGGCTACCATGCCCTTGCCTGAAGAATATTGTTCTTCATAGACTTTTAGCATAGAAATAGAATAGAGTCTGACTTTATATGGACTAGACTTGACAAAATAATTTTTAGACAGTACACTTAGTGTCACTGTCATCCCATAAGTTTGCTTTTCAAAGTTGCCAAATAATACCAGGTATTTGACAGCATAGAACAAGGAAGTAACAAAATATCAGGACCTATGAGAAATCATCATTGGAAAATAATATATTACATCAATTTAGTTTGGAACATAAAAAATATTTATTTTTATGAATAAGTTCCTTTGAGGATTCTTTTTTAAATTTCTGTATACCTGAATCACCCAAGCCCTTGTCTGGTAAAAAGCAGCTCTCCATGCTACAAATGTAGCTTTAGAGCTGCGCTACAAGTGTAGCTTTGCAGACATAAGTTCAGTTTTCAGGACATGAAATCATTTTGAAAACTGTAACTTAATATCCAAACAGTAAGTAACGAGTTTTGCACAATATCATCAACCTTATACCAAAAATCCTACTTAGAAGGCAATTTAGCACATAACAATGCAATCTCCTTGTTCTTAACAAAAATGAGTCAGAATTACATTGCTTTTGCAGGCTATCTGATATGACCACAACCAGGCCCACGGTTTAGAATACATCTTTCTGAGATGCAGCTAAAGCATGGCCCTAATTTTTATACTGCCAGATTCCTGACGGATGAATTATGTCCTAGGTAATTGGTAAAAAAAATTCAAGATCAAGCTGTAACTTAGAGCTACAAATGCATAGTGGCAAAGGAGACACTTTTTAGGCTTTCATTTCAAGTCCTATGAGTGGACCAGTAAATTTAAAAATATCATGGACTAGAGATCAACATTATAATGCTTATATATTAAGGGGAGCATCTGGGATAAAATTTTTAATTATGGCTTTTCCGGTTTTTAGTCTCGTCTTAAAGCTGACATTTGCTCTATCCAACGGTACCAAAATCATCTCTGTACGTTGATTTCTGCGTTCACGACAGCTTGCAAAATGGGGGTGGTCAGGGGAGTTCTTTCACATTTTAGGTGGGTGATAATTCCCGGTAGCATGCATAAAATAAATAGCTAGTCCACATAAGATGTGCTTCAGTAACCTGCCTGCAGTTGTAAGGGAAGGGTTGCATGTCATTGCTCCCACCATCCTTGACTGGAATCAAGCTGCAGTAACGCTTAGTTTTGTATCCTTGCTACATTGAGTGCCCATTCCGATGCACATGGGACTTTGTCACACTCTCCTGAACATTCACACTTATTGTCACTGCAAAGCTATCTCCTCAGGCTCCCAGAGTTTTGAAGTTACAGCAATGAGAGATATACCATTTGATTTGCAAATAAAAGATCTACAAACGTAACAAGGGCTTTTTTTCAAGTTTGTTATAGTTTTGGAATATTTTGAAAAGGGGGAGGGGGGAATAGGGAAAATCGAATTTTTTTTTTAAATTTGGGGGAAAATGCTCCCACACCCACAAAAATGAGAAATTCAAAAAAGTGGTAGTTACGTTTTTAGATAATGTCTTTACATATCGAATGATATGTGTCTCAATGTTGTAGCTTGAAAATCCTAGGAGGAGATAGATTTCTACAGTACCCCTTTTTTGGCTGTTTTCTCTTTTTTGGCTGTTTTCTAAGAATTTCATGTTTTCTTTCCTTTTTTCGGAAAATTCACATGAACAAAAAAAGTCTTTGATTTATGTTTTACATATGTGTACCAAGTTTCAGAGTGATCCGTCCGTAAATAGCTGAGATAAATTTTACCCCAGACGCTCCTCTCAAGTGAATTTTGAAATAGAATAGCAAATAAAATTGAACTAGTTTTAAAAATATAACTCAGTACTCACTGCAGTGAGTGACAGAAAGCGCATTTTCTCATCGACGAAAACTTGAGGTCACGGATGGACAGACGGACAGACAGACAGGGCAAGCACAATCGTGCATTTTTTTCATAAATGAGAAAATGCACTAAAAACATCTCTTGTTTGCCACTATGAGCCCAAATGATTCCAAACTCCAAATAAAAAAAATCACTTTATCGCCATTGGATTTTAGGAAGTTAGTTGAGTAATTTGTTTGTTTGTCGATTAGCAATTTTGCAATCCTAAATACCTCTATGCAATCATTAATAAAAATGCATTTTGCACAAAGGGTTTGCCAGGAGGCCAGTTTGCCAATGTCCTACATTTATCTGAAATATCATGGCTCTAATATGATGAAATTTCAGTATGTATGAAATTTTGCAGCGATAATGTTAAGAATAGCATCACCACCTGCAATGTCCACAATTAAAATATGAGCATTTAAATGAAAGTTTTGACTTGGACGATGGAATTGATGCTCTTTCCGCATTTTTTCTTAAGGTGGGAGTATTAATATATATTTTCTTATTTCCAGTAACTTGATTGAATTGAATTAAATAAAATTGTAATGTTACTAATTTTTCATTTGCATAAACTATATTTTCTTTATCAAGAAAAATTATGTGCGCTGTCTGCATTTAATGAATTCATCAAGCGTGATTTAAACCTTTAATACTCAAAATTTTCAGAAATACATAAGAATAAATATTTTGTATACTACTTCTTACTTTCTTGATATGGTTTCTGAAATTTTAATTTCTGGATATATCAATGCTTGCCCGCTAAAGGGTTAAACCCAAAATCTCATGTATGATAATGCTGGTGTCCATGATACTTTACTGGTCTACTCGTAGGACTCAAAATTGAACTCGAAGAGTTTAAAAACTCTCTGTTTTGCCACTATGGAATATGAAATAACATTAAAACTGAATTATTTTTTCAACATAAATGTAATCAATGCATTATCACATATTCAATTGCCTCTAAAGTGAAGATAAATGTCCCTGTTGTTTTTTCTATGCCTCACTGCATGGTGGTATTCTAAATGCTTTCTAAATGACCATCATCCTATGTAATTGAGGAGCGCGGTGGCTAAAAATAGTAGGGCGCTCACTCCAATAGTAGCGGGAGGGCCAGTAGCAGCCGGTCCTCAAGTAGTAGGCCGGCTCGAGTTGGCCCAATTTCGCAACAGGGATCCTGGTGGATTTAAATGAACAACCAATTCCTACAATTTCACCATGTTCTATGGTAATATTAGAGATTACAGATAACGTGTGAGTGCAGCTGTGCAAATGAGTTCACTGCTCATGGCCTTGCTATGATATTCACAGCCTAAAGGAGTGGAATAATGGATTCATTCACATACTGTCAACTGGGGTGACTTCAGCCACCAGGGGTGACAACGACCACCACTACAACAGAAACAAATGTCAGCAATACAAAATAATAAACATTGGTCAAAGTCACCTCAGTGGCCAAAGTCACCCCAGTCACTTTGGCCAACATTTAGTCAGAGCTGGGCAGCTCTACTTTGGATTGTAGCAGCTGCTACCGCTACTGTGCATTTTTTTCATAAATGAGAAAATGCACTAAAAACATCTCTTGTTTGCCACTATGAGCCCAAATGATTCCAAACTCCAAATAAAAAAAATCACTTTATCGCCATTGGATTTTAGGAAGTTAGTTGAGTAATTTGTTTGTTTGTTGATTAGCAATTTTGCAATCCTAAATACCTCTATGCAATCATTAATAAAAATGCATTTTGCACAAAGGGTTTGCCAGGAGGCCAGTTTGCCAATGTCCTACATTTATCTGAAATATCATGGCTCTAATATGATGAAATTTCAGTATGTATGAAATTTTGCAGCGATAATGTTAAGAATAGTATCACCACCTGCAATGTCCACAATTAAAATATGAGCATTTAAATGAAAGTTTTGACTTGGACGATGGAATTGATGCTCTTTCCGCATTTTTTCTTAAGGTGGGAGTATTAATATATATTTTCTTATTTCCAGTAACTTGATTGAATTGAATTAAATAAAATTGTAATGTTACTAATTTTTCATTTGCATAAACTATATTTTCTTTATCAAGAAAAATTATGTGCGCTGTCTGCATTTAATGAATTCATCAAGCGTGATTTAAACCTTTAATACTCAAAATTTTCAGAAATACATAAGAATAAATATTTTGTATACTACTTCTTACTTTCTTGATATGGTTTCTGAAATTTTAATTTCTGGATATATCAATGCTTGCCCGCTAAAGGGTTAAACCCAAAATCTCATGTATGATAATGCTGGTGTCCATGATACTTTACTGGTCTACTCGTAGGACTCAAAATTGAACTCGAA